TTGCTTGCTGAAAGTGAGGAGGACTTGAATCACTTGCTGACAAAGGTCAAGGATTGTAGCCTTCAGGATGGATTACCGCTCCATAGAAGGCAGGCCCAAATCCTCACAACTGCACCCCTAGGTAACAGCATGACAAAGGGAGGAGGAAAGGCTGAGGTTATTAAGGATCTTGTCATGCTTGGATCCACAATCAATACTCATGGAAGCAGTAGGAGTCAAGAGACAAAGGATGTATTGCATTTGGTCAATCTGCTGCACAAGACCTCTTTGGAGTATTGAAGAGCAAGGATGTTACTCTGAGGATTAAAATGCACCTGACCCAAGCTAGGGTCTGTCAGAATAAACCAGCCTCTAACAACCACAGGGTCCGTAGGCGCAACTGTACAGCGAATAATATATAAAGATTACAGTAAAGTCATAGAAGAGAGGAGAGGTAGGAGAAAGGATAAAATAAAAGAGTCAGACACATTTCATGGTAGCCTGCTCAACTCAGTGGTCCACGTGGAAGTGGGAGAAGAGAAAGGGAGTCTTTACTGTCTTGGGACATTTATAGGTAGCCATAAGACCTGTATATTCAGGGGTTACATATGTCACAAGGTGGGTGGTAATCACAGTAAAGTCCCTGAGCTCACAGGTGAGGAAACTCAATACCTACATTGGGGGAAGGCATGAGGGGGATGGGTACCTTGGCGGGAGGAGATAATCAAAGAATGTCCGCTTCTATCTACAGGGAGATAGAATCAAGCAGGTGCTCACTTTAAGACAGCATAGCTGTTAGGGGAGAATCCGTGGGAATGATATTTAAAGCAGGAGAATGTACTTGGACTTGATCTCTAAGTTACCTAAGTGGTGTCTCCCCTACTGTGAAATATTAGTTTCCCAGATTCCCGGTGTTCTAAGTGAGGGAATGTAGCGCTGGTCATATTTCCCTCCGTGTGAGTTTCCCGCAATGGCCTTCTCCGTTACTTCATATGCATGTGAAAGTTGGCCTTTAAACAAAGAAGACTGTAGAAGAATCAATACGTTTGAACTGTGGAGCTGGAGAAGAACAGTGAAAGTACCGTGGACTGCTGAAAGGACAAACACATCTGTCTTGGAAGAAGCACGGCCAGACTGCTCCTCAGAGGCAAGGATGGCGAAACTTCATCTTACGTACTGTGGACATGTTGTCAGGAGAGACCAGTCCCTGGAGAAGGGCATTTTGTTTGGTAAAGTGGAGGGGCGGCACACGAGAGGAAGACCCTCTACGAGACGGATCGACACAGTGGCTGCAGCAATAGTGAGGACGGCGCAGGACTGGGCAGTGTTTCCCTCTGTTGTGCACAGGGTCGCTACGGGTGAGCCAACTCGATAGCACCTGACAACAACTACCTTCGCATCAGGCCACAAGGGCTTCCGAGGGGCTGCGATCGAAAGACTTCCCGAGGACACGGAAGAGCAAAGGAACCGGTCACCACAGTATGATTAGCAGCAGATCAATAAATCACAGGTACAGGTGGGAAAACAAAAGTGGGACCGAGACCAAGACTGGAGCAAGTCTGTCTGTTTAGACAGAAGAGCTTACTTGATTGGTCAGGGCCTTTCAACCACAGCCAGCAGGGCCTAACTGCTGACCCAGTGTGGCAGCCTCAGCAAGGACACATAGGCAAGCCCCGAAGGGAGACTGCCCCTCCTCCCTAGGCTGGTGAGGTGGGTGAAGGCAACCCACTGTCCAATCCACTCTCTGCTGGAAGTCCTTCCTGACTGTTAACATTCCTGGTTCATCAAATTATTTTTTTTAAAAAAGCCACTGCCATTGATTTGATTCTGACTCATGGGACTGGGTAGAACGGCCCCTGAGGATTTCTGGGACTGCTGTTAACTCTTTCCAGGAGTAGAAAGGTGGTTTCGAACTGCTGACCTTGCAGTTATCAGACCAAACCCTAACCACTTCCCACCAGGGTTCCTGATGAATGGTCAGGATTTCAGTGGAGGCTTCATCGGGAGGGGGGCGGGTTGCGGGAGGGGGGATTCTGCAAATGGATTTTGGGCTCTCACTGTTATCCATTGCCTTCTTCAAACGGGATGCTCAAAATGTTAAGTGCCCCTCTCTGAGTATCATCCATATTGTGGTGTAGTTTCTGCTCCTTTATTCCCATGTTGCGTCTCGTTGGGTGCAATATCACAATTTCGAGACCCATCCTACTGTGGCAGGGCCCTCGGCTGGGAGTTGTGAACTGTTCTCTTTCAGATTGGTTAAGTGGTGCTGCTAGGGCCACTGTTGTCCTGACGCAACTGTGCCTGCAAACTACCCGTACTCTTTTCGTGAGATTCCTTACAGTATGGTAAATATTTTATCCACTTCTGATACCGAGGGCTCAAGTAGAAGGCAAACGTTTTGAGAATGATGATGGCAACAAATGTACAAATGTGCTTGACACAAAGAATTGTACGAGCCCCCAATAAAATGATTTAAAAAAATATATATTTTATCCATTTCAAAAGATAGGATTTAATCAAATAGTTACAATAAATTTTAAAATAAAAATACATACATAACTATCTTAATATCTGAAAGCCATTTAAAATACACAAACCAGAAATGTAATTAAATATTTAATATAGATGATCAGGTAAGATGAGAAATAATTAGTTCAATATAAATTCTCATTGACATTAGA